CCCCAAAACCCCAAAACCCCAAAACCCCGTATTGCAAAATCTGAGAAAATAGTAGTAAACAATTAAACTTATTGTATTTCATACTTAAATATATATTGATTCGATGATTATAAGCAAAGGATGACCTCACTAATCCACAAATCATAACCAACTACTAAAATTTAAGAGATATTGGAACAAATATTCCAAAGTCTAATGCTAGTTAGAATGTATGATGATTATAATGGATAGAGTTCAAATCACTTTCGTGTTAATCAATTAGACTGAGTATGCTCAGCCTAAGAAATGATTATGTTCATTTTTGGTAGCTTGTAAAGTCTTTCAGAAATTTTTTTAAAGGTTGCCTAATTTTCATATTTATTCGAGTTTTCTCTTTAACTAAGTGAGGTTTGGTTTTGAGAGATAAAGTCATTATTGTAAATGTTCTGCTCATTCATTTGGCATTGCTATTATGAGATTCTTCCTGAACTTTTTTATCTATCGTGAATTTTCCTTAAAGGAGGCAAAATCTTTATAGATGTAGATTGAGTATTCAATTGAGCGTGTTTTTAAGGGATAGCTAGAAATCCTTAATTCTATTAGGAATTTTAGTTTACCAAAGTAGACTTATTAAATACATCTTGTGATTCCTATTCAGTAATCTTAATTTCAGGCTGACTAATTCCGATAATTGAACTTGTGCCTATTATTAAATTATTAGAAAAGTTGTCCTAGTTATCTAATAGAAAGTTATCCAAAAGTTCGCTTGATTCCTCTTCTTCGTTTTCAAATATTTGGTACCTAGTGGACTAAGCTTTTAACATATTCCCAGATTTCATCTCTCCATCAGAGCCAAGCATTGATCCAACTAATGAAGAGTTGAATAATCTATTAGATAGGAGCTCAGAATTAGTTTGAGTTTAACATCTTTTTAAGGAATCGATGGCAGGTAGGTTTATTCTCTTTTTAAATTCTTGGTTTTTCTCTAGTAATGAATTCAATTTTTTTATACTAAGTTTTTTCAGAGTAGCCGATGTTTTCTTTTACTACTTCGTATTAAACGAGTTCCATTTTATTGAGTCAACATCATCCCCGTTTCTGCTACTTGTAGCTAAGCCATTCTTTGTGTTTTAGCTTTCATTCGACATTATGTTTGACAATTCTCTATCTGATAGTGGTTTGAGAGAACTTAAGTCATCATATGCAGATTTATAGGATGAAATATTTCTTGAATGGCATCCCTAGTATGATTTAACTTTAACCTGTGAGACTGGTACTGCTTCATAATCAATTATTCCAATAGACTAATTTCTTTGTCTTGCTTGAAAATATTTCTAGATAGATCATTTTTTGCTTTTTAAGCCATTTTAATCATCATCAACTGTACTAATGACGACATGTTTAAATAGTGATTTGCACTTTTTGGATTTTAGTTCCTCTACATATTCACTTTGAAGTTCTTTTTTATTCACATATACAATAGATGGAATACTCTCAAGAATAGCTGAGTTGTTCTAATAATCATTTAGATTTGAGGGTATGCTAAGTGTATGCTTCATGCTTGAAAATTATTGCTATTTTGCTTCTAAAATTTGTAATTAATATTATTTAGACTTTTAAATTATTTATATTGCAAACCCTATCTTTAGTTCTTTCTCGCTTATTATATATATCCTTATATTAGATTATAAATTCTTAAAAATATCTTTAATTTAGATTTTCGAATCTGTCTAATTTTGTTCCATTACGGGGTTTTGGGGTTTTGGGGTTTTGGGG